GGGAATAGGAAAAGAAGGAGATTTCACATAGGAATGCATGGACACATATGCCATGTAGTAGGGCAAAATGATCCCAGTTCAATGATGAAAAGAACAGATAAAAAGGAAGTAGTAAGGGAAAAAAAAACATTTATTATCTTACATGTAACATTTCTTTGCATCGGTTTTAAAGACTTACAAGAGATGCTCGAAGTGCTGACCATGTACTAGAATGCATGACTCACAACGGCGCTGCATGGACAACCGGACCTTCTGGAATATGCCTTACATTTCCATGCATATCTGCAAGTTCATTCCATGTATACCGGTTTATGTGCAAAGTCACCTAGTCGACTGGCTGCACACGTCAAACAGCTGTGCTTACCTATGGAAGTTGTGTACACATAGCGTCCTCTACACCACCATGCATTCGTCTGCACCCATACTTTCCTATGTGAAATCTCCATTCTTTTCCTATTCCCCTACCTTCCCACCAAATATTGATGATGAATTCTGAATCACCCTGTATATATCTTGTATATAATAAGCTGGCAAACTTGTTGCATGGTAAGTGCATAAAGAAAAAGAAACTTGCAGGAATGAGTGAATTTAATTATTTCTTTATTATTCATGGTTGACACACATTTTTTTAATTAAGCCAACATAAATTAAATAGTGCAGTCCTACCATTTTCACAAAGAACATTTTCAATTAGTACCAATAAACTTCAGAAATATATTTTTGAAGCCAGCAGGCAGCAACAAGTTGCAAGAATGAAGTGGAAAGCAAAAAGCTATGCATTCAGAAGAAAGCATGTGTGTGTGTGTGTGGGGAGGGGGAGAGTAAAAAGGTTTGGTTCTCAAATGAAATCTTATTCAATGATTAGATAAAAGGTATCTGCATTGTAGCATTACATATAGTAGTATGATGCAGATTAATTTTGAAATGATGCAGTTTAGATTGATATATTATAAACAGTTATTAATTTTAGGACAGAAAATTTAAATACCCAAATTAAAATGAAGGGTTAGAGTAGACTGAAGGGTGTCCCTTGTATTATTCCAAAGTTGCTGTTTCATTTACCGCCAAGTTGAGTACAGTACAAAGTTCAAGATTAGGAATGATCTAAAATCTGGACCTCAAAGCAATTACCAACATTTTTTATTTATTTAGTGTGTGTGTGTGCTTTATGCATGTATATTTGACTAACCCCCTGTGCATGTGGAGATTCTTAATTTCGCTTCGGCACTAAATAAAATACCTCATTATTGAAGAATCAACCATTTTAGCATAAATTTGTTTGATTAATAATTTGGCCACATAGTTGCATATCTGCTTGGCATACATCTCAAACCGAAACATTCTACACAAATACATTGCTGATTTGACACCTACTCGTACTTTATACCCCTAACGACAACCTGGCGAATCATTATTTATTATACAGTCAAAAATCGTTAATTCGGACACCCATAATTCGGAATGATCTATAATCCGGACCTCAAAGCTAAAAACTTTCTGCGCATGCGGCGCGTTGACACATGCGCACAGGCGTTTACGCGTGCACATAAGACCTCTTACGACTGCGAATTTGCGTGTGCGCAAGCGCGGAATACGTTTTCGCGTGCGCGTTTTATGTATAATGTACGGTGTAAGCTAAAATTATCTAATTATCTATTTCAGTTAATGTTGATGATTGCGTTGTTTTTTAATTTTCGAATTGGATCCGGCTTATTATTTTTTGCAGACTGTAAGAGCAACACTATAAAAGTAAACTTGAACTTTCGATTATGTCAAATAGAATTTTTGATTCTGGAGCTCCCAAAGGATCGTACAAAACGAAAGTATGTTTCGATGTCCATCAAACAAAAAGTGGAATTGCTGCAAAAAATGGATAAAGACATGAAGAATGTGACAGAGAGGTTAGTGAAAACGAAAAAATTTCGATTGACAAGTTAGTCGGTATTCTCGGCGCAGCAATTAACGGGACTTGAACAGCGGAACTTTGTAAGTGAACAAAAAATTATATCTGTTTTATAGAATTAAAGAGAAAGTATTATCACATAAAACGAAGCAACTTACATTGAAAGAAATGTTTAATAAAGTAAACAAATAAATATTAAGCTTTTTTTTTGTAAATTTTGATACCCTTTAGATCATAATTGTTCTTTATTTCATAAATTACGGTTTCATATTTTTAATTTTAGAATTTCTGCATGCCATCTTACGCGATTTAAACTGATCTATAATCCGGAATCGGCGAAGTCCCGACGAGTCCGGATTAACGACTTTTGACTGTATTTTGCTTTTATCACCGCATGTTTATCAACGCGTGACAATTTGAGTAATGACTCATATAGCGACGCATGAGCATTTTTTTTTTTTTTAATATTACCAATTGAATAACAACCTTTTATGTTGACATTACGCTTGGCGATGATTACAGATAATGTGCTAAAAAATGTTGACAGGAAAAATTTAAGAAACATTTCTTACCATATGCTAAAAATAAATTTTGTTAATGATACTCATAGGCCAAAAGATTACATTTAGTGCTATTTGAATTAAGAATAACTGGTTTTTTATTCACCAGTACCAGAGCTTGTATGGCCGCACTGAGCGGCAGAATTTAGGGAAGACAAAAGGAGGCACTTGGTAGCTTGAATTTAAGACATGCAGAGACTGCATCAGGCGATAAGATTTCTAGCGTGGGCCCTCAATAAACCTTAAGTATATGTGGGAATTTATTTATTTAGGACTCTGATAAGTCTTAAGCACGTGCAAGGAATAGGCGTTAGTATAATAAATAACTAATACAAATCAGGCTTAATTGTCTCAGTGCATGATAGAAGCAAGATAAAATTTAGCGGATCAACTTTTCTTTAGTTGCCAATCCCATGATACATAGTTAAATATGTATAATGGATGATAGTTAAATTTTATGATCACAGCCGTGATTCTGAAGGTTTTGCAGATATCGCAAATTCTCTAATTAATGGATTTTGTAAAGAAACGTGGAGAAGCGGTTATATATGAAGATGATATAAAAGAAGTTTTTCATTGTGATGACAGTGCTTCTCAATCATCAGCCAATTAAAAAATGGTGAAATCTGTAGCATGGTTCTAGATCCAGAAAATACTGCTACCAGTAGTGAAGAAAGACAGATACTGAAAGTGGAAAAAATTTCAATTGACAAGTTAGTTGGAGTTCTAGACGCAGCAATTACAGGATTTCAACAATGGAACTGTGTAACTGAACAAGAAATTTTGGTTTAATCCTAGTGTATGGTATACACGGGATTTGATGGCATTATTATGAGCTGTGAATGCGATGTTTATGAAGAGCAGTAAACAGGTGATTTTGGTGTGGGCAATTTTTAAAATCGCACCAAGGTGGTACCGTATACTAGGATTTTACTGAAATTCTGTCTGTTTATAGAATTAAAGAGAAAGTATTAGCACGAAAAACGAAACAACTGGAAAGAAATGTTTAATAAATAAAAAAATATTAAGCTTTTTTTCTAAATTTTGATACCCTTTAGATCATAAATGCTTCGTTATTTCATAAATCATGATTTCATATTTTTAATTTTATTATTTCTACACGCCACCTTACTAAATTTAAACTGATTGTCTAATATCCAGAAAAACCACAAATACGGTATTGCGGAAATCCCGACGAGTCTGAATCTCGGACTTTGTACTGTAGTTGAATGTTATGGAAACCCTATTATGACGTAATCGGTTGCGTGATTGCAGTAAATTTTGAGTTATGGGAAAAGATTTGTAAGGGCTTGTGGTGTGTGTTGGTTAGGAAGTACATTGTTTATTTTGTGGTTTAGACAGTAGAATGGCTGAAAGTGCTAAAAATAATTTGAAGTTTCTGTATGATTTGGAACGAAACGGGAAAAGAGCATTAATTGAGTAGTGTGTAAATGAAGGTTTACTTAGAAGCCATCATAAGCGTCCTGTTTGTAGGAAGGAAATGCACATGGTTGAACATCGAAGAATACTGGCATTATGGAGCATATTTTTTACTCTTATTTTTGTGAATTTATGTGGTGTTGCAAATATACAGATTCTAGTTCAGATAATTTAAAAAAGTTTTTGGATGCTGTTAAGAAATTTTGTTTGACTGAAGAAAGGGAAATTTCTAAATAAGGTAAGTTGGTATTCCCTTTGTGTAATGCTAAGATGAATTTTTTAAAGTCATTTGATTGCTTGATTTAAAATGTTTATTGAGATTATATATGTTTTGTTGGCTGCTTCGTTGACTTTTTAAGTGAATATAGATCGATGTGTACATGGACAAAGTCAAGGGAGTGCACAATGCCAAGTTTGTGCAATTCTCTGAGGTTTTTAAGTGAAAATAGGTCGATGTGTACATGGATACCGAGTTTGTGCAACTCTTTGACTTGTTATTTTGTCTTTGTGTAGTGGCAATTCAACAATCGCCATTACACAAAGACAAAATAACAAGTCAAAGAATTGCATAAACTCGGTGTCCATGTGCAGCCAAAAATCGCCAATTCTCGCCAAGGGGCACTGTAAATATAATTTTCCAAATGAAGAATAAGAGGTGCTGTTGCCAATTAAAATCAGTAGTTTGCTTTACATACTTTTATCTTCTATATATAAGCATTATATATATATATATATATACATATAACATAAAAGTATGTAACGAATCACATTTTTGAAGCATATTAAAGAAACTTTTACAAAGCTTTAATTCATTTTCCCTTGATGAGTTCTGAATTAAAGTTTCAATAAAGGGAGATTAATTTTCATATTTTTATTATTTATATAGTTTTTCTTTTTGCATTTTTAGTTTTCAAGTTTGTAATATTATGATCATTTTTATTTTGAAATGTTTTGATTTTATGTTTAACCCCTTTACAAGGATGCAATTATTAATATTGTTGAGGAATCCCTTGCTTTGACTCCAATTTACTTTTAACTTTAGATGCTTTTAACTTTAGATTATATATACGTTGAGGTAATGAAAATAATTTCTTTAGATCATGGCTGAAGATTCTGGAGGGAGTACTGTTGGGTCTTGCTCAGAAGAAACTTCATCAGATATAACTAGTCCTTTTGTTGAAGTGAATTTTAATGATATCGAATTTTATGAAAGATGTGGTGGAGGAGCATTTGGCTGTGTCTATAGAGCACTTTGGAAGTCTCAGAACAAAATTGTTGCAGTTAAGAAACTACTGGTCTTGGAAAAAGAGGTATGTCTATATTTTTATTGTCTTTTCATATTTTGTTGTTATAAAAGTATCTCTATGTTTTTTTTTCTTTTAAAAAATCATATTTTTATTATATTCAGACACAGACGCTAACCAACGAGCTCCAGCAAAAGATTTTTCAACGTCAACAGGGTTGCCATACAACACACAATGTGCGCCAAAAACCAGCACAGAACACATATCACCAGATTGGGTGAAATTAGGGCGTATATCAGAGTTGTACCAAAATCACAATAATACATTTCAACAACTAGTTTCAAAAAGCATTGTACATGGTCATTTCAAGAAGCTTGGACAGGTAAACAGCTATAGTGTGTAGTACCTCACATTTTGACAGAAATGGCTGGTTGAATTTCACTTTGTGATGGTTTTTTAAAACAAAAATGAAGAAACTTTTTCCTTAAAGGACATCATTAGGAATAAGAAGTGGATCCTTTATGACAGTGTTAGAAGTTGAACGAACCTCCTTCATTGACCTTTGAATGTAAAGGTCGTCTGAAGAAAGTAATGCTGTCTGTTTAGCTGGATTATGAAGACAATTTGTTATGAATTGTTGCCACCTAATCAGACTATTAATGTTAATGAATATTGTTCTCAACTATCAGTTCTGAAGGCATAAATTGATCAAAGCATTTGAACATGACAAGTCATAATTTTTTTAAAAAAATCCATCATGATAGTACTACACTTCTCATTTTAATTAATGCTCCACAGATACTTATTGAGTGCATTTGAGATTCTTAGATTAAGGAAGTTCAATTCTGTCAGTGTTATCAAGCAATACATTGAAAATTTCGTTTCTGGTTAATCTAAAGAATTCATCAAGAGAGAAATTTCTTAATTGACAGAAAAATGGCAAAAATGCATTGGGCCCATGGAGTATATATTGTTCGTTACAGATTTGAACTGTTTCTTTATACGTAATAAAAATTATATTTTAAAAACTACAAAATTCTGTGGAAATTTAATATCAATTTCGTAAATCTAGGGAAAATTAATGGTTTGGGAGCTTTTGAAAAGGTTTTACCTGTAATTAATAGATGCCATAAAGTTGAATTATTTAATTTATGCCATGATACAAGTGGTGTATTTTTTTTTTTTTTCTAATAATGAGAGATGACTGATAGAGAGGTGCTAAAAACGAAAATACAAATGGATAGTTTTAGCAGTTATGTGAACTTTTATTGACCTTCCAGACATATAAGGAAGGAATATTCATTGATAATGCCATTCAAATCAGTATCATTAAATACAAATGGTCTTCTGGATCATGGCACATCATCCAACAGTTCTTCACCAGAGTGTAATTTAGGGGACTGCTTACAAGCAACTTATTGCTGCATTGTTCCTAAATACATTGCTTATTTTTCACCTTTAAAAGTCTTTATGCTAAGCTGAGGGATGGCACTAGGCATTTTGCCACACTGCACAATCTAACCAGGTCCTAAATTGTGTTGCCTGGTACCTTCTTAAATTCTAAAAATTTTGCCATCTCTAAATTTGCTGCTTGGTGCATTTCTGAATGCTAAAAAGTTTCTGCTGCCTTAGACGGCCATACCAGTTGCACTGGCTTTAGCACCAGCCCTGGCCAAGATTTTACTCTAGAGTGAACTGTTTTGAAAAGCAACTAAAATGCTTTTCCTGAAAAGACAAAAACCAAACTGAACTGTTGAATTTCCAGAATAGTAAGGCTTTCTTCCGAACTGTCTGATACATGCATTCATGTTACATATGCATTCTCAGTCATATTAACTCTTTTAGCTGACACTTCTGAAATGGAACAGATTATTTTGGATACTAGAGATTTCTTTCTTGAAAACTTAGTGGTTTAATACTTTTATTATAGTATTTATTTAATGCTTTTATTATCTTCTTAAATATATTTTTTATAAAAGGGAATTTACTATTTTAAGCTTAATTGTACTTGCATTTCCATATATCTTACTTACTATAAAAGTATTTTGTTACTTTCTGATTATTCACTGAGAAGTTATGAACTCATAGGCGACTCTCGAGGGCTTTCACCAGCTTGTTGATGATTTTGGACAGAAATATTCTTTATGCATCTTTACATTTAATGATGCATTCACTGCATATTATTTTAATTTTTCTTTTTCCATACAAGACATGCACACTTAATTTTTCAATTGTTATTCTTCCCGTGTATACAATTATATGTTTTCACTAAAAATATGTCTGAGAATTGCATAAACTTGATTTTGTATGCAGCTTCAGTATCACAAACAGCCTCAGCACAAAATTCCTAAAATTAGAAGGAAAAAAAGAGGTACATGATGCCATTAAGTGAGCCACATTACACTGTGTATGGAGAGAAAGTTAAATCTGAAATTTCACCAGAGATAAGGAACATTGTAATATGTAATCCATCAATGTGCTAAAATGCTGAAATTTTGTTAGGAGGGATCATAATCTGCAGTCACATTCTCAAAAATTTCTAGAGAAGGGGAAAGCCATCTGGGGGATGCTATTCACATACCTGGGTTATTACGTAAGTACTTTTTGGTGATATCATGGGTTGGCACTAGTAATTTTTGACTACATGAAGCATTGCATCATCAATACTTTTTCATGGTATTCTAGTGGGAGGAGGATGTAGATGTTGGTTATCAGAAAGATAACTAACATTTTAAACAAATGTAGTTGTGTGATATTATGAAACATACTTAAAATTTTCATTTATATTAACCCCTTAGCACTAATTAAAACAAACCAATGTAATAATTTTATTTTAAACTGAAGTTTATTAAAATTTGAATAATTTTTAATTTGAAAATAAGTATGTAAGTTTTATTTTAATAGACAAAATGTGTAGTAGTTTAGCATCCTTGATAAATTAGATAAATCCTTAATAAATGATAAAATTTAGTAACACATATTTTAAAATCAACTGAGTCACACTCAAGCATCAGCAAATCCATTCATTGCCAATGCCGTAGTGTCACTTGTTCATGTTCAATGGGATTCATTTTGAAGGAAGTGCTATATAAAGTGGCTCACATTTGTTTTGGCACATTTTGTATTTTTCAACTTTATTTGCAAATATCCATTATTAGATATTAGAGAAATGACTTTCTTTTTCTTCACTATACTGTTGATTTTTTTTAAACTTGCTTTTTTGAAAAAAGTTCTTAGAAATATTTTTGGTTAAAAAAATAATAATTACAAAAAAGTTTATTTAAAAAGTTCAAACTGAACTCACATAAGTGTTTAGATATTTTGAACAAACAGTTCATATTTAATAGAAACATTAAAATAATGGGATTTTCAGTATTTCATTGGCTATTTATTAACTAAAATTACACTTTTCATTCACTTTGGCATGGATTTAAAGAATGTTTTTGTGTAATAATATTCTGTTCCCTTCCATTCCTCTGTCTCTGAATTGCTTTTGCTTTCTAAGTTTTCTTCACTTTCTTTCCAAGTTCACATCATTTTCTTTAAAAACTAAATTTTTCATCCTAGAGGCAACTAAGTATCCTTAAATCATTATTCCTTCACCTTCATGATTAACAGAAGACATAGCTTTTTCAAATTTAGTTCTTCATTTGTCTTTCACCTCACAACATTTCCTACATTGAATGGTAATATATTAAATTTGGTACTTACGTATTAACGCAACCAGGCCAAAATTCGCATAAATTGCCAAATTTGGCAACCCTACTTACGGCAACCCTATGTGTTATACGTAGTTTTGTAAAAAGAACATGTGGAGATTCACACAATTTTCCTGCATTTTCGTGCAAATTTTTGTAATTTATGAGAAAATAGCAGTGTACATGGATAAAGTCAAGAGTGTGCGCAATGCCATTTTTGTGCAATTCTGGGATGTGTTTTTTAAGTAAAAATAAGTCAATGTTTACATGGTAATTGTGAATACGGTTTTCAATCAGTGCTAAAAGCAATAGCCAAAAGATTTCCGCCGAAAAAATAATTCTGCAACTTACTCAAATTCGAAACCGGAAGGGTTTAATTGCTATTTTACGAGGGCCATCCAGAAAGTAGATAACGTTTCCGTCTGTGTCCACTAGGGGCGGGGCTAGCGCGGCCATCTTGGGGTCAGAGCGTTGCGCAGCTCAGTCTGCATCTAGCCGTGCTAGTGAGAGGTTCGTGCTGTGCTCCGTTCAGATACTGTGACGGTTTGAAATGTCTGCGTTAATTGAAAATCCCGCGAGCTGCGAGGTGCGCTCAGTAATAAGGTTTCTGACTGCAAAAAACTGTAAACCGATAGAAATCTATCGGCAGCTTCGTGAAGTGTATGGGGACAACATTATCACTGAAGGTGGAGTGCGTCAGTGGGTCATAAGATTTCAAAATGGCCGAACCAATGTTCACGACGAAGATCGAAGTGGGAGACCCAGCATAGTGACCGCCGAACTTCTCGAAAAAGTCGATGCTAAAGTCCGTGAAAATCGAAATTTCACAATAACGGAACTTTCTTTGAGTTTTCCACAAATTTCGCGAAGTTTGTTGCACGAAATCATCAGCGAAAAGCTTGGTTACCACAAGTTTTGTGCAAGATGGATTCCAAAAATCTTGACAGAGGACCACAAAAAATCAGCGAATGGCTGCAGCGTTGAACTTTTTGGACGCTTACCATAAGGATGGTGACTCTTTACTCGATCGCATCGTTACTGGTGACGAAACATGGGTGAAACATGTGAACTGTGAAACGAAATTGCAATCAATGCAGTGGGGGCACACAAGTTCTCCCCAAAAACCCAAGAAATGCATGCAAACAATGTCGGCAAGGAAGATGATGGCGACTGTTTTTTGGGACAGAAAAGGTGTAATTTTTTGGTGGACTTCCTGGAAAGAGGCACTACAATAAACTCTCAAAGGTATTGCCAAACTCTCCAAAAACTCAGAAGAGCAATTCAAAACAAGCGCAGAGGAATGTTGAGTTCTAAGATCTTGTTGATTCACGACAACGCCCGGCCCCACACGGCAAATGTCACTCGTAAAGTTCTTGAATCTTTTAAGTGGGAGTTGTTTCCTCATCCGCCGTACAGTCCCGACCTGGCACCGAGCGACTTCCACCTATTCCCAGCAATGAAGAAGTGGCTGGCTATGCAGCATTTTGATGACGACGCACAGCTGCAAGAAGAGGTAACGAAGTGGTTGAAGGCGCAGGCAGCCGAATTTTTCGACGAAGGAATTTCCAAGCTCATACATCGCTACGATAAATGCCTTAATTTGTATGGTGACTATGTAGAAAAGTAGTATTTGAGTGTGGCTTTCATCTGTATATAATAAAATTTGTTTATACTTTGTTTATTTTTTTATTCCAAAACGTAATCTACTTTCTGGATAGCCCTCGTATATTTTAAAACAAAATAATATAAAAAGCTGTATTAAAAATTATCTGTAATTAATAAATGTACATTTTCTTTCTGTTCATACTTTTTTACTCAAACTTACAAATAGTGCCAACCTGGTTGCGATAATACGCAAGTACCTTAAATTTTGACTTACCAGCAAATATGGTATTGTTTCAATGGTATAAATCTTTTCATACCACAATTTTTTTTTGGTGGCAGATATATTTTCTTTGTTATCTTGTTACAAAGAATTTCCTTCTTGCTGATCCCCACTGTAGCATTTAATAGCTTTAATAACTATTCTGACTGTTTCACTGTTAACTTTTACTGTAAACCGTTCTTCTCAATTCACTATAAATTTTAGAGTACTGATTTTGTGGTTTTGTTTGAGTTATCCTAGGATAAATCGTCTGTTGCTTCATCTTTTTGGATATTTTGAATACTTTGATTATCTTTAAAATAATGTATAGTAGTATTTCCAACAGAACTTGTTAATTTGTAGCATCTTGCCATGTTCATTTCAGATATTGAAACGTTAATATATTTTACTGAACAAATAAGTCCCGTTCCAAGCATAGATGATAATTCTTGTGATGTAGTTTCATTTAAAACAAAAATTTATGACAGGAGATATCATTTGCCAAAACATCTTAACAAAATTTTTGAGTGTCTGAATTCTTATGCGAGTAACAACAATAACACTTTTTGAATAAATTGTTTTATTACTAGGAATATTTTGATGATGTTTATTTTATAACAAGTCTGGCTTAAAATAGATATAATAAAAGAGAAAAATAATTCATTAGAAAAGAATTTGAAGTCCAAAGTTTATATTTAGTGCAAATCAATTTTAAACATATACTGTATATGGCAAGGGGTTTATATACAGAGGCTGTCCATATTTAAATCTAAATGAATTAATAAATAAGTAATTTCCTGATAATATTAACTAAAAAAATTATTCATTTTCAGGCTCAAGTTCTTAGTCTGCTGAGCCATAAAAATATCATCAAGTTTTTTGGAGCTGTCACAATATCTCCAAACTACTGCATTATTACAGGTAAATTTGCTACAAATTTTAATGCAAAACAAATTAAGAATGTTACCAAGCTAATAAATGTAAGTGATATTTAATTATTATTAACTGATATGTAACTAGTAAGCCACTCATTCTCCAACAAATTGAACGATACATCAGATTAAAATGAACAGCCACTGTCCTAGCCAATGTTTACCTCTTGTTTACAGACCACAAGGATCTGTCTCGATAAAATTTTTTGATGTGTTAATGTTGTTGTTAACTTGTGGAGTGCAGGGAGAGAACTTAACTTTTTTGACTGCTCAATATTGATGTTAACACGTCGAGCACATAAAGAGAAGTAAAATTTTTTGACTATTCAATGATTTTTCTCAGATTGTTTTTGATTATTCTTATTGTTGAAAACATTATTTGTAAACATAAATATTGATCAACTGAATGCACAGTACTGGAAACAGTAACTAAAATAAACAATACCTGTAACTGCATTACTTGGAAATTGAATCATTCGCATGATTTTCTTCTTTTGATTTTTGGACTATAAAATTAGCTGAAAAAGCTGAAAATATGTGAAAAAATACTGTAATAATAAAAGATTTTCAAACTCTTTTTGTAACATCCTAGACTCCTAGCCATCTATTACTGAATCTTTGATGATTTAGCTTAATTTACCCCTATCTTTACCTGTATCTCTAAGTCGCTAAAAATATATTCCAAAGTGTTCCATTCAGGGAGCCCCTGGGCGAAAATTGGTATTGGCCAGCAAGGCAAAATTTCAATACGGTTGCTACACAAAACCAAAATAACAATTCAAAGAATTGCACAAACTTAACTATTATTCGATTTATTTTCACTTAAAAAAAATCAGAGAATTGCACAAACTCAGCACTGTGCACTCCATTGACTTTGTCCATGTACAGTTTGATCTATTTTCACTTAAAAAGATAAGGAGACTGATGACATCATATAATGTTAAAACAAAGTTACTCATCACCAAAATTGAACAAAATTTGTAGCCAATCGAAGCTTAATAAACTGCATTTTAAATCACGCAATGAAATAACGTTAAAAAGGAAATATGTGTTATTGCATATACGTACTACAAAAAGGAAATATCAACTTACCATATTTAGAAATATCTGTGTCTTCAGTCTGTGGCATACGAAATTCCGTAACAGCATCCAAAAACTTTCCAAAATTGTCTGAACTAGAATATGGATACTGCTGTCAACACCTAAATTCACAAAAATAAGAATAAAAAATATCCTCCGTAGTGCAGGACTGTCAGTAGCATATCTTGCATGAATTTTTCTTGTGACAAACCCATTCAGAGCCATCTGAACAATCTTTACATTCAACCATACGCATTTCCGTCGTACAAACAGGACACTTATAATGACTACTAAGTAAACCTTTATTTACACACCAGTCAATTGATGCTTTTTTCCCCTTTCATTCCAAACTGCACACATTAATCACATTGTACACATTAATTGTTTGTTCACATTAATCTCATCACATACAGCCATTTTACGGTGTACAGCAGTAAATAAGTAACGTAGTTTCTGACATCCAACACAGAAATAAGCCCTTACAGATATTTTACCATCAGTCAAATTCACCGCAATCACGCAACCAATTGCATCATAATAGGGTTTTCATAACATTCAGCTGCTCAGGTTACCATAAATGAAACAACAACTTGGTGATAATTCAAGGGGCAGCCTGAAATATAGACTAACCTCCAAGTCTTCCAAAGTGTTCTTATTCTGCAAGTATATGGTGGCATCCTAGTTTCGGAAGTAAAATCTACATCCACGGTTACTACTACTTCTGTAATCATATACTGTATCTATTTTTAAGTATTGTGTAATTTTCATATCACTTTGTTTTTAGAGTGAATATTTTATCTGGTAATGTACCAGTAAACTCTCAATTTTAATGAATCAAATAATGTTTTGTATTAAAATTACCAGCCAGCATATCTATGTCCTATCCATTGTTAAACCCTTGCATACCAATGATAGTTCTCGAATAATTTTTTTTATATGTTACTATTGATGTTAACTCATCCAGTGCATGGAGAAAACTGACCTCCTTTTTTGCTTGCTGAATGTTGATGTTAAGACCTAGAATATAGGGAGAGAACTAAAATTTTGTTGACTGCATAATGATCTCTCTCAGATTGTTTTTGAAAACTTTTATTTTCGAAAACACATGTAAACATAAACATTGCTCAGTTGAGTGCATTCATGCCCACACAAAGTTTTCTTTTCATCATTTTCCCCCCTCCTCATCTCTTTTCTGAAACATATTAACCAAGATGCTGATGTCCCTGCTAATACTGGAAAAAGTAACTGAATTTGCAATAAATAATAACTAAAATGAGTAACTCCTGTCTTCAAGATCATTCATCTCCCTCTATTTTAAAATTAGCATGAAAACAATTTGTAGAATGCAGATCATAAAATTAGATAATAATAATAATAACATGATTTTATTATTGGAAGCTTAAAATTCACAATTTTAAATGCATAAAAGTAATTTCCAAAATAAAAGTCTTAAAACATAGGATTCCATTTTAAATTGCTTAACAGATTGCTGCCATCCACAGGTTCAAAACAAAGAATAATTAAAACATTTTTATTTTCCAGTGTTTTCAAGAAATGAGTTAGTATTTCTGTGCATTAATAGGCCATATAAATAATGAATAAATGTGCCAGAATAAGCATGCTTTTAAATATGCAAAAAATTAGAAAAGCAAAAAAATTAATAAAAAATTTGGAAACTTCTTTACAATACTTTGTATAAACTTTGTGAATAAAAATACCAGAAGAGGAGGACAAAAATAAACCAAAGGTTTGAAACTTTATCTACCCAGCAGTAACAAATTTAACAGGTGAAGATATCTAGAGTGATGCCTAAGGAAAGAGATGTCTTCATGGAGGACTTTCTAAGGGAAACCGTCTCACATTCATGTTATGCATGGCAAAAACATGAAAATGAACCTTGCAGCTTAGCCTAATTGCCTAGATTTGCACACAAGGTGAACCACCAGCATTTAGCAGTCTTAACCACACTTGCAGTGGTGGGGCATCATAAATAAGGCGATTTACTTTAAATAAATAAACGTGATATCAAGACATCATTATGCATATTTAAAAAAAAATTAAATTAATGTTAACCTTATTGATTGCCGTGTGCAGAAGAATGTGGTTGATATCATTATTAATACAACAAACAATGATAGATTTTTATTTGTAAAAGATGTGCTTTTCTTAAACTGCAAAAATGTTACTATAAAGTTTTTTTTTTTTTTTTTTTTTTTAGAGTATTCAGAAAATGGCTCTTTATATGCTTTTCTTGGGGAACAAGAAAACAATTCTATGTTAAGTTTTGAGCAGATTTTACGATGGAGTTCTGAAATAGCAGCTGGTAGGATTTAACTTCATTATTGCCTTAATTAATATTTTTTATGATGTAATTATTATTATCAGTTTGTATTTGAAAAGATTTTTAATTTGTAAATTATTCTGTATGATAAAAATATAAGTTTTTTTTTTTTTTTTTTTTTTTTTTGTGTGTGTGTGTGTGTGTGTGTGTGTGCAGGGGATATTTTTTTAAAAATCTATTTAAAGATCTAAAGATTTTTTTTACATACAAATTAAAACAAATATATAAAAATACTTTGAATAATGTTATTACCAAGTTTGTGTCTAGTGTAATTTTTTTATTTGAAAATTTTACATCAAAGAATAGGTTTTCTGGAAGGAAACTTTTTAATGAGTTTAATCTGAAACCCTATTTGTAATAATTTACTATAATAAGCCTAGTAATATATTCATAGAGCTCATGGGCTGATAAAAGTAACTCATGGATTCGTAGAAATAAAATATGAGCCCATTCTTTGGGAAGTATGTTCTAAAATAATTTTTTTTTAATTTTATGCAAGAATTGGTATTGTGCAGGAGAAAATGGGGCATATTAACAATAGTTTATGAAATTTTGCTGAATTTTTTTAGTATTTTATTCATTGCATCGAAATAGCAGAAACCAATTGATCATCCCCCTTCCTTTTGCTTTTATTGTGAAATATGAATTAAGTCTGTAGCATTTAGAAGACAAATTTTGCCTGATAGTAAAAATTATAGTTTCTTTTTCTTTTTTTTAAAGGAATGCATTATCTTCATGAAGAAGCTCCAGTCAAAGTTATCCACCGGGATTTAAAATCTAAAAATGGTAACTATATATTTTTAATATTGCAATCATATAAAAATATAAAAAATTAATATAATTTTTTTAATTTATTTAATAAGCTGTTACTATTCGTACATAAAAATGATAGAGAATATATATGTATATCAGCATCACCACCTATAAAATTAGAGTTGATAATGTTTGAATAACACCAGCAGAACTAGTTGACAAAACTATTTACTTAGCTTCCTTAAATGAATGCTTTTACTTGCTGTTAACAGTATCTTGTACTACTTCAATGTTTCATTTCCATACATACATTCCATTACAAAATCTGCTTAGTCCAACCTTCTCTACCTGCTTTTTAAATTTTTCCAGATTTTTTTAATCACTTTATACAAACAATATATATAATTATTTATTATTCTATTCTTTTTTAATATAACAACCTTTATTTCTTCGTTAATGTAATATATGCTTATAACGAAAGTTTTCCAACAGAAAATGTTCTTAGTAAAGTTAGGGGAAAAAAAAATGAAAGCAGTACCTTTAGTGAGAGTAGTAATCACCACCCAAATCTATGATTTTCTACCAACGCTTTGGTAGTTTTTCAAAGCCTTCGGCCGAGAAACTTAGTGGCCATGAATCCAAAAACAGATCAACTTCATTTCAGTCATCTTGTGCAAAATGGAAGATAGCACCAGCAAGACGTAGCTTCAGTGTGAAAAAAGGTAGAAGTTCAAAGGAGTGATGGCTATATGGTGAGTGTGGCAAAAGATCATAGTCAAGTCCATACATAGCCGTTGAATGCACACACATGTGGTCTTGCATTATCTTGATGAAATATTACTTTTTTGCACCGGAACTCAGTTGGCCGTTTTTCCTTGACAGCAGATTCAGCATGGATTAGCATCTTGCTGTACACCTTACATTCGAGTGTTTTACCTTTTTCCAGATACTCTTTGTAGAAAATACTGCGGCAATCCCACCAGATACAAAGCATTATCCTTTTGTTTATGAAATTGCACTTTGCGATGCTGCCAATGTGCTCACCGGGGCACAGACCAACCCCTTTTTTGGCCTGTGTTTTCATCACAAGTGACAATCTGGTCCAGAATTTTTTCCTTGCGTTGATATTCAAGCAGATTAGTGCGGGCTTGAATACGTCTGTCCTTGTCTGCTTGAGTCAGCTCATGCGGTACCCAGCGACTGTACATGTACATCAAGTTTGCGTGATACTTAGTGTAACTAATGGACATGGCACTAACATCTTAGCAAGCTCTCCAGTGGTTGCATGCTGATCTTCTTCCACGAGTTCTCGCAGGTGGGTCTCATCAACATCAGTAGGCCTGCCAGAACACTCTGCTTCTTGAATGTCATAGTCCTTGTTTTTGAACTGTCGATACCAAACCTTCACAGTGTGTTATGATAAGTAGTACCTAAAGCTATACATTTTGACTTTGAGATTTGTTGACTTTTGTAGCTGACTTTTTGCAACAGAAATGAAAGTAAATGATAGTCCTAATCTGGTAACGTGATAATTCCATTTCAGAACCTTGTACGCAGTGATCTCTTTCTTTCAAATGCTGAAAAATCACTTGACAAAATATGATTAAACATGCCAACGCAAATTGTTTATGTAGACAATATTTGTGGTGGCGGAAAACTTTCGTGAAAACCTGATATATTTTTGCTACATAAATGGATAAAGCATTTAGGATTTTCTTTTAAAAATTTAATTTTCTTTTATGGATATATATCTGTAATTTGTATTCTTCATGTAATGTGTATGGATTTAATTTCACTTATTATCTAATAAAATATTACGGATAACTTGAAATTAATTTTTGTCATTGAGTTTTCTAGTATTATTAAAAGTATCACTTCTGAAATATTATAGATAATTTATTATTGCTTTTTAGTTTGCCAGTGTATTCAGTTTTTTTCCAATGTTTTTTTCATTATTATTTGCTGATTTTTGAATTAAAAAAAAACAGTATATATCATTTATAACCATTTGAACGTTTTAACTATGTATAAATTTTACTCGTAGTAAGGGAAACAACTTTCTACTTTCCCAAATGCTCTTACATTTAACTGTAACATAAATCTTTTTGCTAAAATAAAGGAATTAAAAAATGATGATTTATTTAACTGCTAAACGTATTCTTTTTTAACTTGCTAAAGGACTAAAAAAACTATTTTAGTGAAGAATATTAGGAAAGTTTTAAAAAACTCTGAACTAAACTAAAATAAAATAATTTAAAATGAGAATCTTGAAAGTAATGTTTCTGTAGTCAATAAATGGGTAAATAGATTTAAATTATTCAACCTATGAAAAATTGTCTAAAACATTTCTATATGTATTACTGGCATTTCAAATTGGAATTCTGATATTTAATAATATCTCTAGGTCACCGGTTCACAATCTGTGATACATGTTCCACTGATGGTACATTACAATAATTTTAGTGGTACACGTTTTACAGAAAAAAATTAAATGAATATTCAAAATGAATGTAAAATGTCACCCCTTTTAATATTTTGTTTTGCTTTTTATTATTCATCAACACACATATTTTTTTAAGTTTTTGACTTTTACGACTCTATCTTCAATGCTGAAATGACGACTATTCCAAGAGCTTCGAACAATTTCTCGACGTTGCGATTTCAAAGAATCGTAGCGGCACTCCAGTTTTGTTTTTCTCCTTCCTATCCCTTCGCTAGCTAAACGTGGTTTACAACATTCACCATTTTATTTAAACCTTATAATATATAAAATGTCAAAAAGACAGAATGTATATATATTTCTAAACGTATCTTGTCAATGCTGGCCCTGTGACTCAAGTGTCTTCTTTGCTTTGTACAAACTACTTGTATATTACTTGCTTAATATATGTATTATTAACTCACTATTTACA